CATGTTTCTGAGTGAAGCGTGACACTGTTAATTTACATGCACGCAGCTCATCTGTGTTTTTAGTATCTCAGAGTGGCTCAATTCACAGTAAATCCTGCTCCACACAAACTTATATGCTCTGATTTTGGGTCGCTTATAACATAGATTTTAAAATGCAACACGCGCCAACCATCTTCCTTTAGTTAATGAAATATTATAATAAAAAGCACTTATAAACTGGCTTTTGTCAACTAAAAGAGAAGCTTTAAGGGCTCCCTGCAGTTTCTGCCAAAATAAAAGCTTGAAAATTAAGAAATTAGGACAGCCATAAATATTAGTATTGTAATTTTACAGTTGTTCTGTAAAATGTTTTTTAATACTTATTTTTTTATAGTGAAATATTACAATGGTAATATTTCTTATTTAAAGTAATAATATATTTAGTAATATTATTGGTAGTATTATATTGATACATATAATTACATGTTTTTGCTCGAATTTAGCAGCCCTACACACACAGTACCTGGGGCTTAAATTGCAATTTTTATCAGAAAATGTGGAATTCGATTTTTTCCTTAAATCGTGCAATTCTATTATATTCTCTCTGTAACTACTGAAAACATTTTCTGCTGCTATACAGATGCCAAATTCATTGAATTTAATGTGATTTAACTTTAAATGTACCACAGTAATATAATATCTTTAACTGGGTGGCTTTTCTCAGTAAATAATAACAGTGATAATTCATTCTAGCACATTTTTGATCAAATGACAGCTCTAGTTATATACCATGTACAGTATGTGGGCAAGATGACCCAAACTTATTTATATTCTCCCAAAATCTCTGCGTTTGACCTCTCCAGAGGTTTTCAGTGGACATAACTGAGCATTTAATGTATCATCACTAGAGAATGCAACTGATACATCTGCTGCATCCTTTACTCACACTGAGATAAGTGTGGTTCAAATCCTCTGTGGCTTCATCAAGACCTTTCAACACACTCCCTTCATACCCATCAGTCTCTAACTGTAGATTTCTACAGACTCAAACTCATATCACCATGGGGCCATCTTTCTGCTGGGTTTGTCCTTGATGTGGCTGAGATTGCACCGCAGTTACAAATTCTGGTGCTTTGCGTCATCTGCTCCCCACTGACCGATTCGGCTCCATTCTGCTCTCACTGTCCAAATGAAACACCCGTCATATCGCTCTGGGCATTTTGTGAGATTTCTGTTGAACTGCGATGGCCTAGAACTCAAAGACCTCGATTGGCTTTTCTGAAGATCTCCCAGAGCATACATCTTTAAAGCACTGTCACAACAGCACAGCTTTCTTTCAAATTTACTCTAAACTCTTTGAGAATTAACCCAAAAACAAGCTGAAGTCCTCTGTGTTGCATCAATAATTACTGTGATCAGTGTGGTACGGCGCTTCCTTAGTGGCTCCTGCTGTCAGCCAAGTTCTCAAAGACAAGATAGCTGTTGCCTAGCTTTATGCTGAATTTAATTGAGGGGTCATGGGAGAGTTTGAGTGTATCTGTAAATTGCGGTTAACATCACATCAGGTTTACTCGGTTCGCACTCTCTGCCAAATGCAGTCAAACTGCGCTGGCGGAGAGATTGAAAGATGGCAAGCGAGAGAGAGTTATTTTCTCTGCAGATCCTCGTGGGGGGAAAGACTTGAGCTGCTTGGAGATGCAAGGGAAAAATACTCTGTTCCAAAACCTATTGAGATGCCTATAGAGGTGGCATTTTTAATGCGTCATCAATGCAAAAGCTGTGCCAATAGGCAACTTAATTATTTGACAGAAATATTTGTATGTAGCATCATTTGTACATTTCACAGAGAATGCACTCCCAGAATGCTTTGCGGCAAGCTCACAACCTAACCAAAGATGGCTTATATGCTCATAAAGGCTGCATTTATTTGGTAAAACTGTATTATTGTAAAATATTATTACAATTTAAAATAACTGTTTTCCATTTGTATATGTTTTAAAATGTAACTTATTCATGTAAAGATTAATTTTTAGTAGCCAGTGTCACACAATCCTTCAGAAATCATTCCAATATGATATACTTAATATTCTTGGTGCTCAAGAGACATCTCTTATTATTATCAATGTTAAAAATGTTTGATCTGCTTAACGTTTTTTGTGGAAACATTGATACATTTTTTTTCAGGATTATTTGATGAATATGAAGTTCAAAAGAACAGCATTTATGTGATTATTTTTTTTTTTTTGTAATATTATGCGTCTTTACAGTCACTTTTGATCAATTGATTGCACCCCTGCTTATTTAAACATTAACGTTTTAAACGCATTAACGTTTTAAAAAATAATTTACTGACCCCAAACCTTTGAGCAGTAGCTATAATTTAATATAAAAATTATTACTATTATTTATATTTTTGTGCTTTTTGCATTTTATACTGTTTACATGGTAACACTAAGTCAAGCTATTTGTGTGGTGTATAGAGTTGCTGCTGATGAAGAGTGCTTCAAAACAATATGACAATGAGTTAGGATGCCTAGCTAGGCAGTAGGCAGCTAGCTAGGTTTTGGAACAGAGTTTGAGAGTCTGCTCTGAAAGAGAGTGGCAAATGGGGAGTTGAAAAAAGAGGGCAGATGAAGGGGCATGTTGTGCATAAAGAGGATGCAGAGGTGGGATGCACATTGCACAAAGGTTAATAACGAACTCAACAGAACAACAATTATTTTATTGGATGTTTTTATGAATGTGAAATCAATTATGTGAGCAGGGAAACAAGTGTTGAGTGTGATTGTGCCGTCAGGTGAGGTGCGGAACATGAGGCCCGGCTGTGTCAGACCCAGATAGATTATTCATGCATTCAATAATTTGGCTGCCTTAATTAAGATTCACTCATTTGCATATGGTTCCTTTCGCATTTGTCACGTTTTCTCTCTCTCTCTCATTGCAAGTGTCCCGGCTGCAGCGCTACATTGTGCGGCTGTGTAATAAATGACATACTGGTTGTTTTGCTGGAGATGCAGTCAACATAATTAATTTTCCATTTATTTTGTAGTGGAGGTAATGGAGGGAGATGGTGAGTATTCGTTTTTCCTGCTGGTGAGGCCACGTGTTTCTACATGAGGTCCAGATGTCTTGAGACAGATGTACTGGTGGATATTTGTTGATGTAGATATTTGCCCTGTTTATACCTGATATTAACATCTGTTTTGGATTGAAACAAGGTAGGATGACACTAAATACTGGTATAAAAGGGATCCAAAATGTTGATTCATATACATGCACTTCAGTAATTCTGATGTCAACGTGCATCATGACAGATCATGTGAAGCATTCACATCTGAAATGAAGTTAATACAATACAAATTTATTTGCAAATTGATGAATATAGTGCACAGTTTTGTGCAATTAATCACTTCTAACAGGCACTAACATTCAAAAGTATAAACAAATTGATTTTATAGCAGGGGTGCATTCAATTAATCAAAAGTGACACTGTGTCACAATGTCTTGAGACAGATGTACTGGTGGATATTTGTTGATGTAGATATTTGCCCTGTTTATACCTGATATTAACATCTGTTTTGGATTGAAACAAGGTAGGATGACACTAAATACTGGTATAAAAGGGATCCAAAATGTTGATTCATATACATGCACTTCAGTAATTCTGATGTCAACGTGCATCATGACAGATCATGTGAAGCATTCACATCTGAAATGAAGTTAATACAATACAAATTTATTTGCAAATTGATGAATATAGTGCACAGTTTTGTGCAATTAATCACTTCTAACAGGCACTAACATTCAAAAGTATAAACAAACTGATTTTATTAAGCAGGGGTGCATTCAATTAATCAAAAGTGACACTGTGTCACAAAAAAAATTTCAAATAAATGCTGTTCTTTTGAACTTACATACATATATATATGTATACTGTATATATATGTGTATCAGAATTTCTGAAGGATCATGTGACACTGAAGACTGGATTAATGACTGCTGCAAATTCAGCTTTGCATCACAGAAATACATTTTAAAATATATTCAAAAAGAGTTAATTTAAATTGTAATAATATTTCACAATATTCCTGCTTTTACTGCATTCATAAGATACTTCTTTCAAAAACATAAAAACAAATCACCTCAAACATTTAATTGGTAGTGTACAACTTATAATCAGAAATATAGAATCCCCAAATTAATGCAGAATGAGCATTAAGAAAGTAATATTTTTACCTTTGTTTTTGTAAGTTTCTGAGGATAAAATTAGTAATTATAGCCTTTTAATATTATTTGTAAGCCATAGTCTATGCCTAAACTACAAACGATCAGTGTTTTTGTTTATTGGTTATTGAAGCAATGAGGGACTCGTAATTAGCTTGAATATATAATATGAACATTGTCATAGCCTCGGAAATTGAAAAAAAATCCCTAATAATGGCCAGCTGTATTTTGTTTTTTCTTGTGATTTCATAACTTGATAATCTTAATATCAGGTGTACATAGGACCATTGATTGAGCAGCAGAGGAACATGGGTGTATTGGTCATGGTGTTTTGGAGTCATTCTGATCTGCTGTGAAGCCCATGCATTCCCCACCCTTATAATTTTCAAATGACCAAATTTATCAAAGGACATATGGGACATTATCAGCCAGGCACATGAAGTGAGACATATAGGGAAGGAAAATGAGTGAGGAGGGATCCAACCACAGCTGTTCAGCCCAGAGAGCCTGAGTGAGAGAGACTAATAACAAATCTTCGAGCACTAGTGCACACACTTTTAATATTTCACTTCCGTCCTTACATTCTTGCAGGCATCTTCTTACAAGCAATCATTGACCCACCACAGGTCCTCATTGCTGTGTAGGTGTCCTGCAGAGCCCTTTGGTTGCACTTGAATCATTGGTACTGTAATACCAGGGCCCGGGCCACTGCTGGAGGCTCATTATGGGTCTGTAAGAACATTTTAGCCCGATAATGAATATGCACCCACTCCTCCATAATCATTCATCAATGTACGGCGCATTCCCAATTACCTGAGAACGTGGGGCGTAATGAAGGCTGATGAATTCATTTAGCAGGGAGGGTTTCTAACGCTGAATGTGCCAGGCCATGAATCGGAGGAAGGGGGGAGAGAGGTGCACATGTGACAGCTGGCACACCTGCACACAGTCTTTCATAGACTTAGCTGCACAGCAGGGAATGCTGGATATATCAAAACCAGTCGAAGTCCGGGATTCCCATGAGTGCTAGAGCCCTCTACTGGAGTTGTAGTGCACAGCTGTGCAAGACCGACATGATTTAAGTAGGATGTATTTACCTTCCTGTCTTAGCCCTCACAAAAGTGTGTGTGTGTGTGTGCATGTTTATGTGGGGAGGACGACGTGTCTGCGAGCCCTATATGAGAGTTTAATGCATTCTGATGGCGGCTGTGTTGTCGGCCAAGTCAAGCTGAGCCTGTTTTTGTGATTAAACAAAATGAAATTACTGCCAGCAAATGGAAAGCATGATTGATTTTCTCGGCAGATACGGTGTGCGGCTACGCAAAGGCTTGTTTAACTTTATCACAACAAATCCAATAAGGGCTGACACAGTTTCACTCTCTCCGGTCCTCAGAGCGTGTCAGGGGCTCTTCTGGTTTAAACGTGTCTCCCAGTGGAAATGCATACACGGATTTTCCTGCGTACACTACTAGAGGGCTGTTGACAGTTGAATAATATACATTCAATCCATATGTAATAGTAGGTGTATGTGTGCGCGCACACGTGTAAGCCATAATTTAAACATCCTGTCTTCATTTTGCTTGAATGTAACCATTCTCATGTCTCATGCTGCAGCAGAACGGAGATGATTAATTATTCCCCTCTCCTCAGTAATGACTTCCATTACTGCCCACTTGTGATTAATTAGTGACAAGATAGAGTGTGTATGCCACCTCCCTGCCTGACTGAAACACACTCCCTCCACCAGTGACTGGCCAGACTGTCTGGGTTTGGTGGACGTCAGCCACAGTTACAGATCACATTCACGTAGAAATAGAGAGATGTATGCTGTAATATACCTCAATAGTGTAGGCTGATTATTTGTGCAGCAGTGAAGCAGATGATTTCAAGGTAAAGCTTTTCATTGACATTTCTTTTGTAGACTGTGGTTTTGTCACCTTTGTGTAAAGCTGTCAGGCATCTTCAAGGCAGTACAAAGTGCTCTGAAGGTCATATATTCTCCAGGCTTTTGAGCAATAGGCTTGGATTCCCCTCAGGTATAAAAAAATGGAAACTTGCTTTTATACTTGATATGATCCAGAAAAGTATGGATAGGAGAGACGGTTATAGTGACTATGGAAAAATCCTTCTAATTTTTCTATTAAATATAAACTACTTTTCAAATTTTGAGGTCAGTACTATTTTTTTATTTTATTGATTTTTAAAGAAATTGATACTTTTATTCAGCAAGAATGCATTAAATTGATTAAAAAAGTGAAAAACATTTATAAAGATTTCTATTTCAAATAAATTATATGCTTTTGAACTTTATATTCATAATATAATTCTGAAAGTATTCTGAAATTCTGTTTTCAACATTAAATTGAATTGCTTCTTGCAATGTTTTAATATTTTAGAATGTTATTTTATTGCCATCACTTGAATACATTTTATTCTATTAGAATTAATTAAGAATTACCATTACAATATTTCTGTTATTTTTATTATTTCTTTACTGTATTTTCAGTATAACTTTTGAACAGTAGTGTATTGTACCTGTAATACAAATATTTTAAGTTTCTGTCCTGTGTTTTCAATTGTAAAAATGAAAGAAACTTTTTAGTATTTTATTCTCGTCTTAATTTAACTTAGAAGTGATGATGTGTAAGACATGGATGTGGATAAATTTAACCCTAATAAATTCATAAATTGGAAAAATGGACATTTAAAATGGTAATAAAGGTTTTTTTTTTATATACAAATGTAAAATCTATAATAATTTCACAACATAATTCAAAGCATGTCCGTGATGGAGATTCTCTTGAATTTGCCACAGGGAAGCTGCCAAATGTCCTCTCCTGAATATCAGGAAACTGATTTTCCAGCTATTTCCAAACATGAGATAGGAGGAGTTGTTTCCCCCGCTGCTGAATCATTTGCTCTTTATAGTCTGAGTGAGATGAATGGGTTTTGTGATTGCACAGCTATTGAAACTATGCACAAAATGCTTAACAAAAGCAGTGGGAACACATTAAACAGCAGAAAAGATTTCATTTGCAGCAGGGGCAAGAAAAAAGCGATAAAGCCGGAAAATAAGAACTAGAGGAAGACAAGTTAGAGGCGAGGTCCCTGGGCCCCTGGTATTGCTTTGAGGTGAGACCTGAACATCTGAGATAGAGGATTAGTCTGGGATTGACCTGTTGTATATTATCTGCTCACAGTCTCCACATGGGAAAGAACGACCTGCTGACTTTTTACGATGGAGATGACCTGACTGCAAAGATTCTGGGCCAGTACAGCGGTTCCCGTCCTCGCTTTAAACTCTACACCTCCATGGCTGATGTGACCATTCAGTTCCAGTCGGACCCTGCTACCAACATCTATGGCTACAACAATGGTTTTGTGGTGCACTTTTTCGGTAATGCTATTTAACCATTTCTGCTGCACTTTCCATTCAAAAGTTTGGCGACAGGTAGATTTCTTTAAAGAAATTAATACTTTTATTCAGCAAGAATGCATTAAATTAATCGTAGGTTTAGGGTTAGGGTTGGGTTAAGGGATAAAAAATACCATTTGGTCAGTATAAAAGTAATAGAAGTCTATGGAAATTCCCCATAATTCACAGAAACAAACGTGTGTGTGTGTGTGTGTGCAACTGAACCATTGAACATTCTCTGAGCTACATGGAATAGAGGTGTTTCATTCTTAAATGAATTTGTGTGTTTGAACTAAATGGTTAAGTTAATAATTCAATGACTCACTCATATAGATAGTCACTTGTTTCATTCATATATAATTTTTGAACAAATCTGTTCAATAAATGGTCCAAATGACTCACAATAGCCATGTAACCAGTTCAGAACGAGTCACTGAACACCATCTAGCACTGTTGTTCTTTAACAAATTAATATATAAAGTGTATATAAATTGTGCATATGTTTGAGAACAGTGATGCAACAGTGTATATATTTTCTAGAATTAACTGTTTAGTTGCATTCATAGTTAGTTGCATTTAATTATGCCGGTATTTATTAGAAATAATTGAAAGCTATTAATTATGGCCTGTGCACAAATTCTGAGAATACCTGCTATTGGACAACCTTCCTGTTTATGTTGTTTCTGGACTTTATTTGATCAATGTCTAATGGAATCACTATTGGAAGTGCAATGCAAAACATACAGATTTTTTGGATGTGTTCGTAAATCTCATATTCAGCAGCCTTTTCTTGTGATGCATCAGTATTTGAATCAATTTAAATGAGATGTAGTCCTGATTGACCATGAGCTGTTGATTTGTTTATGATGGTTTCTCTAATTTTCTCCTGCATTTGGCTTTGGGTTTACAGTTGGCTTGGCTGCAGAGCTCTGTATGGTGGTTGCGTGCACCTCAGAGAGTCACAACCTTTAGCAGGCTGGTAATAAATCAAGGCTGTCTCATCCCCCCAGGCACCGAGCCAGAACCCAGACCAATATTTAACTTTCTAATTAAAGAAGAACTCTGCAAAAACAGAGGAACTAATTTCTCTCCTTTATTTGAGAAGGCATCATCCTCTATAAGTCTCTCTGGAAATGTTGACAATTCAAATGAAGGTTTAGTCTCTTCTGTTTGACTGGCTTTTCCCAGTGCCAACATTGTACAGCTTTTCATCCAGAAGTAACTGGGGCTTATCCACCTTCATCTCAGGAAAGTCCTGTGTTAATTTGCTGCCTCTGTCCAGAGTCCATTTTAAACAAATGGCTGTGGACTAAAGGCCAATCCGGAGTCTCTTGCGGCTCCGTAACGGATTTTATTCCATGTAGAATCACTCCCACATTCTAATATATATGCCTGCAGAAAATTCTAATATTTTTTATCAGGTAATATTAAAAGTAGTAGTATTGATTTTGTCAGACATTTTTAATTTAGTATTTTAAATTAGTCTTAGTCCTGTGTCAAATGTACTTTTTAGTTATTATCATATTTAGTCAAAATAGTCAGGTTTTAGTCGACTAGTTTTAGTCAATGAAAACTTAGTCACATTTTCATCATGCTATTTAATATTATATATTTAATTTAATTTTATTTACTGATAAAAATATACATATATATATATATACTTTGAAGAATATTCGTAACTATTTTGGTATTTTGGTGACCAGTGATTTTCATTGTATTTATGAAAAAGTCATACAGTTTTGCAACAACTTGGGGTGCATAAATGATGTCAGAATGTTCACTTTTGGGTGAACTGTCCCTTTAAGATTTAAAATGAAGAAACTAAAAATAAATTAAGAAACTAAAAACTAAAATAAAACTAAAATGCCAAAGTTTGCAATCAAAAGTGAAGGATTGTCATATGAGCTCAAATACTTTTCCCAACCAAACCAAATAATCTGTTATGCAAACATTCATTGTCTCATTTGATTCAATTTCTCCTGAGGTATTTTAGGAGATATATCTGAGGAAAAAGTTGATGCAGCAAGATTAAGTCATGAAAGACCAACCACAGAGTGATAAAATGTTCCTCTTTGCAGAGGTTCCCCGTAACGACACCTGTTCAGAGCTTCCGGAGATTTCCAATGGCTGGAAGACCACATCTCACCCTGACCTGGTGCACGGCACGTTGGTGACCTATCAGTGTTACCCAGGCTTTGAGGTGGTGGGCACCGAAATGCTCATGTGTCAGTGGGACCTGACCTGGAGCGGAGACTTGCCTAGCTGTGAAAGAGGTGAAAACACACACACACTCACGATGATAACCACTCTCTCTAAAATCCATTTTCACCCCACTTCCAAACCAACACGCACTGCCTATTGATCAAGAGCAATCCTGTGTTATAATTGCAATGATTGTTGTCATTTGAGAAATTTATTTTTACATTTCAGGTATTGCACTTTCACCAATAAACACAAACCAACAGAATGGACCTCATACACATGGTTTATTTTAACTCATCTAGTGTACTGATTTATGATATGCTATTTAATATATAAATTAATATCAGAGACTTAGATATGCACTCTCTTTGTACATTATGAGAACTGGTAAAAACAAACAAAAAATATTATAAATTCCTAATAGCAATTCCAATAATTCCAAATTGCAGTAATGTTTCTCTATTAAAACAACAGTGTTTGAATAAGTGCAACCGCAAACAAAATAGACGAGATCTCATGACAGAACACAAACAGGCTGAATAACACTTTCATTTAAGCCGAACATCTCACATGGAGATCGCTAAACTGCAGCTTACTTGCTTGTCTGTGTTTTCAGATCATTGTCGGGGCTTCCGTAATGAATATCGAGTGTGTGCACATGGTTGCCAGATTGCAAAAATTAAGCAAAACACCAAGCAGAAAATGTATCCTTTTAACAGAAGCTCTGATTTGGGGTTTTGAACTCTTGATATCTGGCAACCGCACATATGAAAGCTCACATAGTAGAGGCACGTACAGCAGTCTGCGATAATATTTTGTCTCCTTTTTTCAATAAAAATATAAAAAGAGATTTTTGTATAGTTTTTATTTTTTTAAATACATTTTAGTTTAGTCTTTTATCATCAATGATACTGCATTTTGATATAGTCACAGTTATCGTTTATTGATCATAGTCATTGTCTTGTTAGTCATGGGAAAAAAGCTCGTCAATTAACATTTTTCGTTATAGTTTTCATTAACAAAATTAACACTAAAAGGTAGTTATTTTTATATTAATTATATTACAGAATGTTCCAGTTTCTACTGTAGGCAGCCAGGGTGAGCATAAGAGACTTTTTTCTAAATAATCGAAAAATGTAAATTATTCCAAAACGTTTGATCAGTACACGATTCAAATTGTTTATATATTTATTTCATAATAATAATAATTACTTTTATATAATAATATTACTGTTTTTACTGTATTTTTTATCAAATAAATTTCATTTTTTGCATTTTAATATTTCATTAAATACCATTTGAATTTGAAACTGTGTTGCACACCTGTGCAACTTTTTTTTATTTAGCTTTACTTTAAATAACTGTATGTTTCAAGGACACGCAGGGTTACTGTGCCCTGGCCGCAAAACTGTTGTTGGTATGTCGAGCACAGGCCCATCGTGCCCAGCCCTCGGCAAAGGGGATTTGATTGGAAATGGTGATTTTTCCAGCAGGGCAATCATTCAGGTAGATGATTCTCCGCTAAACAGACATTGAGCAGAGAAAGGAAGACAGAATCCACTTCAGAATTTGTTCATTCTGATGCACGAAAACAGTTGTTCTCAGTAGATTTATATTGTTACAAAAGATTTCTATTTCAAATAAATGCTGTTCTTTTGAACTTTCTGTTCATCAGAGAATCCTAAAAAAGTATTATGATTTCCACAAAATAATAATAATAATATTAGGCAGCTCAACTCTTTTCAACATTATTAATAAGGAGAAATGTTTCTTGATCACCAAATTATCATATTAGAATTTTTTCTGAAGGATCATGTGACACTCAAGACTGGAGTAATGACTGCTGTCAGGTAGATGATTCTCCGCTAAACAGACATGGAGCAGAGAAAGGAAGACAGAATCCACTTCAGAATTTGTTCATTCTGATGCACGAAAACAGTTGTTCTCAGTAGTGGCCTGTCATCCATGTAAATTACAGATAGGCTCGGTTTGCGTGACAGATGATGGTTCATAATGTATTAGTTTTCCAAAGAAATGCCAGACGCAAAATCCTCCACAAAATCCTCCCATTTATCTCTCAAGCAAACAGAATCAAATGCATCTTCACGGCTTTCACCAGCAGAACCGTATTTTAACCATGTCTGAGATGCAGAGAATGTCTCGATTGACATTTCTTTTTTTAAAAAGCCAGCATTTGTCACTTCCCTTTCGTTGTGCTGAGCGGAGGACGACGTGTCGACTGCCTATTGATCAAGAGCAATCCTGTGCTCCATTTGAGGGGGGAATTTCACAAGTGCCTATTCGCCTCTGCAACTCGGTCCCGTTCAAGGACAGGCGAAGAGTGAAGGAGGGCTTTGTGGGTAATCACTCACTTTTCTTTCGAGGGCGACTTCACGCAGGAAGTAGGTGTCTTTTCGCTTCACAGTCTCGGTGCATCTTCCTCTCTTTGCTCCCACCTTAAGTGATTTATGTGATTTTGCAAGAATTTTTATTTCGCTCTCCACCTCCTTGGTGAGACCATGATGGCGTCCTGCTGATGCACGGAGTGTTTCATCAACAAATTTCAAAACAGGGTAGCTCCGCGACTAGCCAAAGTCACTCCAGTGCTTGAAATGAAATCTCGTCGCCTGGTTATTGTGTTGCTCAGACTTGCTCTGTGTGAGTGCGTAATACTGCAGGCTCCCAGGACGTCCGCAGACATTCGCCGTTTCAAGTATCAGCAGACAAGAGACCGAATGACCCCGGTGTCCAGGTTCTGCCGCTGTCCATGACAAAAACAGTAGCAGCAACAGCAGGCCAAAAGCAGTGGGGACCGTTATCTGGTTCAAAGCTTCTCACCCGCCATGCAAACATCATTAACTCACTCGCCTCTCCCGTCCCATTTTCCTGCCCCTCTACTGCTGAGGAGAGAATTGGGTTTGCAGCTGGGCAGACAGGAGCGAAGTAATCTTTTTATCATACTGCACTGGGTGTCGGTACACTGCCCTGAGATCAAAGTCACATGTTCTTCGTGTCTCATACTTTCTGGATGAGATGAGCGGTGGCTCCTGGCACTCTATTAGAATTTTTTCTGAAGGATCATGTGACACTCAAGACTGGAGTAATGACTGCTGAACATTCAGCTTTGCCTCACAGGAATAAATTGCTTCCTAATATGTAATCAGAAAGAAAACAGTTGCTTTAAATTGTAGTAATATTCCTGTTTTACTGTATTTTTGTTCAAATAAATGCAGCCTTGCTGCACATAAGAGAAAAAAAAATCTTACCGGTCCCAAACATCTAAACGCACTTGGATGAAGCTCATTAATTATCTGCTTATGAGATTTATTTGAGATGCCACAGGGAAACGTAAGAGGAAGAGAGGTTATAAGAGCGAGAGCCACAACTGGTTTAGTCCTCACCTTTCCTGAGGATGAAGAGAAGGTCATTCCATCAGCTTCTCTTGGTGGCTGACTATTGCACAAGATCAGATCAAATATAATAAGTTCTATTTGGAGGGTGGAGGAATGCAGATGATTCATAGAGCGGACTGTAATGGACTCTTTTTCCATTTCCTTCACGCAGCACAGAGGAAAGATTCCTGTGGCAGCTCCTGCAGGTGCAGGGATTTGGCCTTGCAGAGACGCTAACAATTACAGTGCATGTTTGTACTCATTAGCCGCATTTGCCGGGTGCCGTGCCCTCCCCAGCTCTGCCACGCTAAGAATGGACATCAGCAAAATGCCTGCCAGCTGTCTTGTGCTGCTCTATTCAAATTTTTAATCACAGCCAAGCTGATTCCTAGCATTTGATTTATCAGTCATTAGACACAACACCTGTGGTTTGTTTAGGGACACGGTGAGAAACAAAGAAATTGTTTGCAAGCATTATTGAACATTCTGTCTCTCTTTCCCTCACTTTTGCTCTACTAATCAAACTAATTGAGTCTTACTTTACAGGAAAGAAAATAACAAGTGAGAACTCACAGATGTTTCAAGTGTTTCTCCATATAGAAGTAGTGAGATTAAATGGAAAGAAAAGGAGACCTTTGATTAAACAGATAGACCAAAACTCTGTCATTTGCATACTCTCATGTCATTCCAAACCTGAATGACTTTCTTTTTCAGTGGAACTCAAAAGAAGATATTTTGAAGAATGATTTAACTGTTTTTGTCCATATAATGAAAGTCAGTGGGGTCCAAAAACAACGTTGAGTTCCAGTGACTTCCATTGTATGAACCCAAAAAAAAAAACTTCAAAATAACTTCTTTTGTGTTCTAGAGATGAAATTTTGGATTTAGAATTATATGAGGATGAGTAAATGATGAGGATGAGTAAATGATGAGTATTCATTTTTGAGTGCACTAACAATTGATATCTTTCAGACATTATAAGATTAAATGACATGAAAGATGTCTCACAGATGTCTCATGACTGCTTTCCTCTTAGAAAGCAGTCAGATTAAATGGAGAAAAATTCAGAAATCTGCTTAATTTCATTTGGTTTGGGAGAATTTGATAAGAAATATTTGAGACCACATGATAATCTCTGACTTTTGATTGCAAACTTTGGCTTGTTAACAAATATAAGTGCAATGTTAAGAACGCTTCTGAAAATCTTAAAGGGTTAGTTCACTCAAAACTTTAAATTCTGTCAACATTTATTCATCCTCAAGTTGTTCCAAATTTGTGGAACCACAAGTATGATGTGAAATGTGAAGAACAGAGAAACCAGAAAGCATACTGTTAAAATGTATTTTATATTGATATTTAAATGCATAATAGTAATATAAAAAGCAAATATGTAAAAGATGTAAAAACTGCATGTATTAGAAAGTAAAATTCTTAACCATTCTGATCCAAAAGCATTGTTTGCTCAACAAATATTTGTATGCAAGTCATTGGTGCCACCCTCAGGTGAAAATAAAAACTACAATATAATAGGGATATAGAGTTCTTGAATATTGCAATATATAATGTAATATTTTAATTGTAACTCATAATAGCATGTATATATAATGTAAATATACCAAACTCCAAATATTGTTTCAATATAAACAATAAACTCTGTGACCTGTTGCTATTTTTTGCCAGTCCTGTCATGCCCAGACCCAGGCACGGTGGAGCACAGTCGCAGGGTGATGTCAGGCCCGCGTCTCATCGTGGGCTCTACTGTCCAGTACATCTGTAACAAAGGCTACTCGCTGTCAGGAAACAGCCTGCTCTCCTGCTACCACCGTGACTCCACCGGCCCCAAATGGAGCGAGAAACTGCCCAAATGCATTCGTGAGAACATGATTTTATTCACAAATAATCCCAAATATACACCTACAGATACACACACATATGGGTGTTAACTGTATAAAATGATTTGTGATTTAAACTTGTAAACTTGTCAAGTCTTTACAGTATAGTTTACAGTATAAGCATTGAAACATTAAGAAAAACCCACATAGTGCACATTTAATGTTTATTTTATTTTATTGTACTTTTTGTCAAAATTTGTTCATTCTGTGTGTGTGGGGCGGGGGGGTTGGTTTGGGTTTCTTTTGATGACAAGGTTCCATTCTATTCACAAAAGTAGTAGAATATCACTAACTAATCCATGCTTGTTTTGCGCTTGGTTGTTTTTTTTTCAATATTTCATTCTGTTTTTAAAAGTAATAGTTTATAAATACCAAATCCGTATTTGTTTTCTTTTCTTTCATTTTTGGTTGGTTTTGTTTTCTTTTCTTTTGTTTACAAAGTCTAATTCTATTTAAAGGAAATAGTTTTAAACTAACTAATCAGTATTAGTTATTTTGTTGTTTGTTTGTTTGTTTGTTTTTTTGGTTGCTCGGGTGGTTTTTGTTTTATATTGTTTTGTTTTTGTTTTGTTTGCAAGGACTCTGTTTAAATTAATTAACTAATGAATGAATGGACGAACGAATGAATGAATGAATGAATGAATGCATGAATGCATGAATGAATGAATGACCGGGGCATTTATATAGCGCTTTGTTGTGTATTGCTGTACACCCAAAGTGCTTGACAATCATATGGGGGGATTTTTAAAGAAAGTAGTAGTTTAGAACTAACTAATCTGTATTTATTTTCTTTTCCTTTTGTTTTGTTTTGTTCTGTTTTATTCTATTTTCAGAAGTAGTTAGTATAGAATTACCTAATCCATATTTGTGAATGTGTGTAAAAAGTAATAGTTTATAACTAACAAATCCATATTTTCCTTTTATTTTATGTTCTTTTTTTGGTTGGTTTTGTTTTCTTTTCTTTTGTTTACAACGTCTAATTCCATTTCAGGCAAATAATAAACTAGTTAATCTGTATTAGTTTTTTGTTTGTTTGTTTTTGTTTTGTTTTGTTTTTGTTTTATTTTGTTTTGTTTACCAGGCTTCATTCTATTTACAGAAGTAGTAGTGTAGAACTAACAAAATTGTTTTGTTTTGTTTTTGTTTTGTTTTTTTGCTTAGTTTTGTTTTGTTTTCTTTGCAATGTCTCATTCTGCTTAAAGAAAGTAGTAGTTTAGAACTAACTAAACTGTATTTGTTTTCTTTTTTTGTTTTGTTTTGTTTTGCTTTGCTTTGTTTTCATTTTTATTTTCAGAAGTAGTTAGTATACAATTACCTAATCCATATTTATGGATGTGTGTATATCTGTGTTATATAGCTGATTCGTATGAGCCGTGTAGGAACCCCGGCACTCCTCCCTATACCATTCAGAGCTCAGAGAAGCATGTGTATCAGGCTGGAGAAACGGTGCGCTTCTCCTGCATGAGTGGGTATGAGCTCCAGGGTGAGCCTGTTCTCCGCTGTGTCCCCAGACATCCTTCCAAATGGAGCCATCCACCCCCGCTGTGCAAAGGTAGGCTGTGTGTTTTGCAGTGTTCATGATGTGTGATCTGCATACTATATCATTCACATAAGGTCTCTTTCCTGTCTGCAGTGGATGTTTATTTATTGATATGTTGTTTCTCTTCGGGGTAGGGAGGGTTTGTTTTTAATAGTTTGGTATGACAAGCAACATTTTCTCATTTGTTAAAAGCTCTCGCTTTTTTCCCAGCGGTAACACTGGAGTACATAGATGAACACAGACTGGATGGTAAGAACATCTTAGAAATGCACATAAATTTGTCTTCACAGGTATGCAGCTTAACTTATTTTATGTATTTGCTATACTTTGTCCCAAATCAGTGGCCAGTGCAGATTTCAGTATGGAGGGAGCCAGTGTGGCTGTTTCCATTTTTATCCCAGTGGCCGTAATCATAATTATCATCATGTCAATGTATTTCTACTTTTCAAGGTAAGCTTTTTTTGTTTGTTTTGTTTTTAAATAAATGTATATTATGTATATTATTAATGCACCAAGAATGCATTAACATTTCTATTTTTAATAAATGTTTTTTCTTTCTTTTCATCAAAAAAAAAATTTTTGATCCGATTGCACAAAAACATTAAGCAGCATAACTGTTTTCAACATTGATAATAAGAAGAAATGTTTCTTGTGCAGCAAATCTGCATATTAGAATGATTTCTGAAGGATCATGTGAGAGTGAAGACTGGAGTAAAGATGCTAAAAATTCAGCTTTGCCATCACAGGAATAAATTACATGTCAAAATATATTCAAATAGAAAAGTGTTATTTTAAATCGTAATAATATTTCACAATATTACAGCTTTTATAGTTAAATGACGTTAGTTGTGAGAAGAAGTCAAATATAATTTGTTTGCAGATTCCATGTGGTTGAAATTTGTGTTTTAGTTTTGTTCAAATGTCTCTCCTGTGGGTTAGACCATTGCAAGTCAAATGAATTGTTGTCATATGTTTGTTCTCAGAGTGCAAGGCAAGTCTCTACGTCTCTCCATGTCCACATCACCACAATACGATCACATCAGAGGAGAGTCAGCTTTTGAAAACCCCATCTACGAGACTGCAGTAAGTAAAGCATGTGTTCAGCAACAGGCTACATTCATCCGCAACCACCTCCTCACTTGTAATAGAAACCTATTCCCACCCATCGTATCCATTTGTGGTGATATTTCATGGCAGGACTGAGAGGTACTCATGTGTTCAGTCTTACAGGTGCACATCTGCACTTTGAACGCCATCTGCGTTGCCATATTGTGGGTTCATTTCTGTTATCTAATTAGCTGTAAAGTGCCATTCTGGAGTTGAAATTAAGTGGCGCACGGAGCCACGCCCTCATCATTTCACCATTAGCGATCACACAGTTTTATCACTGGGCCAGAACACCAGAGGAAGTGAGACATTTAACCTTATTATTGCGTAGTCTATTAGCATATCACCAGCCACCTCTGCTTCACCTGCTCTCATTGTTCAATATATTCACATTCATTCAGCTAAAAAAGATATTTCACGTTCATATTAAAATTCTGTCATCATTTACTTACTTTCATGTCGCTTCGAACCCATGTGTGACTTTTTCTTTCTTTTGTGGAGCACAAAAGGGAGACATTTATCTCCCAAATGGAAGGGGACCATTGCTGTTGAATTAAAAAAAATACTGTAAAAGTATCATAAGATATCATAAAAGGCATCATAAAACTAGTCTGTATGACTCTGTAATACAGGTCTTATGACAATATACTGTTCAGTAGTGACAAAAGAGAGAAAAGTGAAAAGTCTCATTTGTTTTCAGCTACAATACCATTCAAAATTTTGGGTTCAGTAAGATTTTTTTTCAAGAACTTAATACTTTTATTCAGCAAGGATGCATTAAATTGATCAAAAGTGACAGTAAAGAATTTTAAATTGTTGCAAAAGACTTCTGTTTCTCATAATTGATGTTCTTTTAAACTTTCTATTCATCAAAGAATCCTGAAAAAAATGTATCACTGTTTTCACAAAAATATTACTAAAGGGATAGTTCACCCAAAAATGAAAATTCTGTTGCCCTCATGTTGCTCCAAACCCATAAGACCGTTGTTCATCTTCGGAACACAAATTGAGATATTTTTGATGAAATCCGAGAGCTTTCTGAGAGCTTTAGAAAATTAGAATTTTGGAAATTGAGAGAATTAGAAAAGCATACTGAGTAGCAAAGCGGCATTCAAACAGAAAACAGTTGTTTTAAATTGCAATAATATTTCACAGTGTTAATGTTTTTACTCTATTCTTGATAAATAAATGCAGTCTTTGTGAGCATAAGAGAAAAGGGAAAAAAAAGAAAAGAAAAAAATCTTATACCAACCCTAAATTTCTGGCATCTGGGATGGGAAAAAAGAAAGTCATACAGGTTTGGAACGACATGAGTGAGTGAGTCATAATTTTTTTTAAGGTGAACTATCACTTTAATTCAGAAAAAAAATTTGATCTGATGATTTTTGACATACATGAACTTGCTCAATCACTTACATTGCACTTTCTTTTCTATCTCACTATCTGCATCCCTGAAGAACAATGAGGTGAGATTTTGACTGTAAATACTTTTACAATGAAACATGCTCTTTTCCCCCAAGCCTCCTGCGTCTAGCATGCGTTACAGACTGAATGTTATTCGCACCTCTTATGTGCTGTGCTAGTGTTCCTCAAGATCTCTCTCTCTCTGTGTGGTGTGGCACTCATAACACAGTCCCAGCAGCTCACTCCCTGCGTATACTAAACTGCTCGATAACAGTTTCTGGCCCCCAGGGCAAAGTCTGCTGGACAGATGAGTGTCTGTGTGCTGTATGTGTTTGTGCATGTATGTGTGCCGCTTCTTCTTGCACTAATGCCCTGAAGTGGTGTAGTAGCATTATGTGAAGATGATGCAAACACAAGCATCTCTCTCGGGTGTGAAGAAAGACATGATAAATCTGGGTTTACAAAAGACTGCGATTACAAAAAGCATAGCTGATCAATATTACATTTTGGACATTTAATTTCAGGATTATAAAGGTTTGTTTTCATATGCATTATTGATTTAGCATGCTGTTTATTTTTCATAAACATCAGAAGGCTTTTAAATGCTCATTTACAAATCTGCATTGTGTTTATTTGTGAAAACATCACAATGTCACTTCATAAATCACACATTGTTTTCCCAGCAACGTAGCCTGATAGTTTTTCCTCAGACTTCCATTATGTTTCCATTGCTGATTATTATTTTTACGTTTTTTCATGCTTAAGTTGCATGGTATTTTTGATTTGTACAGAGACCTATGATTCAAAGCAGCCACCAGAGTTACTCTCTAGGATTCTGTTGTAAAGAAAGAGCCTGTAAGGAGAGTTGATCAATGGAATAGCATCACATGGACAAGGCTGAGAAGGTTTGAACCACTGGTGTAGGGCGTCTCCATCTTTAGCAGCTCTCTTTCATATTGTGTTTGCAGCCAACATTGGTTTTGCTACCCCTAACAAAATGAAATATTATATATGCATATAAATGTTAAATGTATTATATTTTATGTGTTTTTGTTTGTTTGTTCCGCAGGATACGAGAGAGTACGAAGTCTCCATTTAAGCTTGTTTTAGCATGGAGGACCGCAAGCCTTTCTCTGCCTTGTGGAAGATCTCTCAGTTCCTCTCACATCTTGTGTAGCCAACTCTGCTCTTAATCTCACCTACCTTCTCATCTTTTCCCATCTGCTGTAAAAATCACCTTGCTTCTGAGGACTTCCGCAAGCGAAGAGTGGACAACATGATATTATTTTTGTAGAGCTTCAATAGCCATGGCCTAGCAGAATTGCTTGTACAGTTTTTACCCGTAATTGAGCCAAATTAAGGAATTAAAAAAAAAAAAAAAGACTGATAATAGGGGAGTATATGTTATTTAGGAGATCGATGTCTCGCTAAACAGATTTTTTTCTTTTATTTGTTTTTAAGTGTCGCACTCACAACCCCTCCTGCCCCCTCTCCAAAAAATTCACATGTAAAGTTACATTGTAAGATTTAAGTAAATCACAAGCACAGGAAATAGTTGCACTTGTGAAATATAAACAAAATGATATAAATTTGCATATAATGTAATTGAACAAAATACAAATAAAGTTACGATTACCTGTTAATTTTCAGGCAGAAATGGGTTTCCATAGCAATGACATAAACTACCGTTTAAAAGTTTGGAGTCTGTAAGATTTTTTTCATGTTTTCAAAAAGACTTTTAATGCTTACCAAGACTGCATTTATTTTTTTGAAAAATACATTAAAAACAGTAATATTGTAAAGTATTATTGTGTTTTCTATTTGAATAGATTTTAACATTTAATTTATTTCTATGATGGCAAAGCTGAATTTTCAGCATCCATTACTCCAGTCTTCAGTGTCACATGATCCTTCAGAAACTTTCTTTCTTATTATTATCAATGCTAAAAACAGTTGTGGTGCTCATATATTGTGGAAAGCTTGATAATTGTTTTTGAGGATTCTTTGATGAATAGAATGTTGAAAAGAACAGCATTTATTTGCAATAGAATTTTCCCACAATGTAAAAGTATTGTTACTTTTACTTTTGAGCTGTTTAATGCATCCTTTCTGAATAAATATATTAATTTTTTTTTTTTTTATCTGACTGACTCCAAACTGTTATTGTATCTGGAGTTCTTATCCAAATGAACTAGTCACAAATATAATCATAACATTTCCTACCTGAACACCTCCATGCAGGGAAAAATAAACGTCCTTTAAAGCAATTATGTAAAACTCAGCAATCATTGGTCAATTAAACCCCAATAAATCATCCCTCCTTCACTGATCAATTGGCTCTGTTTTTTGGTTTCCGTTTATTTTTGTATGTTTTTATACATATTATGGAATAAAATAACAACTGACTGTACTCTTTCAGCAGGCACTCTTAATATATAAATATCTAAGAATGTACATAAAATTTGTATTAGATATGGCTTACATGTATGTACATATGAGGTTTATCTATTATAGAATAGATCTTTGTTCATCATTTCACACTGTTAATATCAATTAAATGGATCATCTAAAACAGTTATGTACTTGGTCCGCATATGAATGTTGTCTGTATTGATTGAAAAATTGTCATTTCAATGTAACTAGCAAAAGCTGCCAAAAACATCACAATTGGTCACATGACAGACTTGCATCGTGAGTGTATGTTTCAGTGTTTCACTGTCTCCAACTAAACAACCGAGTTTGGGAACCTAAGAAACAACATTTATTGGAAGTCAGAGTAACATCAATAACTCTGATATAGTTACAGGCGTTACATTCATATCAAATTGAAAAAAAAAACTGTGTAGTTTGAGTTTATTTTATTTTATTTTTATTTATTATGTATTTATTTTTGAGGGATTCAGTAAAGCGCTCACAGAAGAAATCTGTCTTAAAAGATGCAAGGGACTTGGCTGTTTAGGATTATCATGGTCCAAAATGTTATATTTTTACTTCGTTGCACTGTACTGTAATTATTTACCACAACATTGTCATAGCATATCTTCAATTAAAAATGATATTCCATCAGATTGTGCTGTTTTTATTTGTTCTTCATAAACTTTTTCCTTTTTGTAGGCTAATACTTTTTCGCTGTGCTTTAGAGAAAACATGGCCTGCAGGCTTGGAGATTTTGTGTTGTTCTGTCAGACTAACGCTAGGGGGAGCCGTTCCCCTCTGCGTCTCAGTACGCATGCGCAGACTTCATTCCAACCCCGCTAGAGTCGAGTCAGAGGAGGGCAACGCCAGCCAGTTAGCATAGCTATTAGCAATGGCTTTTCATAACAACACCTTTGCTCTTCACTGCTGTCATCTGAGCGCCATCCACGAGTGTTTCTGCACATGAGGACCTAACCGCCGACAATCAATCCAGCAGACTTACTTTGCGACAGCGAGCGCTTTTTTAGTCAGTATGCGATGGGGACAGACAGCTGTGGATTTCTACAAGCATCTTTGCAGGCGGCTGCTGCTGAAGAAGCAGAGGATGCTGCTAGGCTAGCGAGCTAGGCCTTTACATCCCAAAGGAACCCTTCAATACTGCACCAGACAGCATCTCGCATTCAAAATAGGAACGATATTTGCACTTAAACGAGAGTTTGAGCGATTCGTCAGCTCTCGTTTAGCACCAGACATCTGGCGAGCTCTGTGCTTTTGTTTGTTGATAGCTGCTAGCTAGCCGAACATCGAGCAGCCAATCCGCTATCTTGTTAGATTATCGACCCGTTTAATATTTCCAGAACGGTTTAAAGACAGCAAGTTAACCCGACTGGGTTTGGAGAACGCAAGAACTGCTGTCGGATTGTGTGTTCATGCTATATTTTAGCAGTGTGAATGTGGGACAAAATGGAGACCCCGAAGATTCTGTACGATTTGGACACGTCTGGGGGCCTAATGGAGGTAAGCCTGTCTGCCCTTCAGCTGTGCCTCGAATCACTGTCTTGTGTGAGTTAAATATGCCTGTATTAAGGATTAAATGAGTCATAATAATAGCAAATTGCAGAATGGAAATCAGTCGTTTGTGGACATTTGCTTTGGTGAGTTTATGCAGAGCTGGCCTGGGCCTGGTGCAGAAATTGCCTGTCTGGAAAGTAGAAACGAAGACAAAACTGTATTTATATATATTCAGATAGATCTGATTTGACATGGGAAAAAAGTTTAATGACCTTATAGTTGAATGCAGTGGTCCTTAAGGCCCCCTGGACTGCATGATTTGGGGGTCTCTCTAATGTCACCCTTAATTTCAATCCAAAATCTGCATTGTGTGTGTGTCTCTCAGATTAGTATAATATCCAAAATGTGCAATGGTAGGGTTGGAAACACCAGTTGAATGTGTGAAGCAGCTCTCCATTGACGTCTGCCAGGAGATCTTTTGTGTGACTACATGCATGCTTAAAATATATTTGCCAATCTGTTCCAGCAAATTCAACAGCTGCTCGCACCTCCACGCTCTGAGGATGGAGAGAAGAGACGCAAACCAGAGAGGGAGACCAGAAGAGGAGGCCGAGCCACGAACCATGACACCTGTGATAGCTGCCATGAGGGAGGAGATCTGCTCTGCTGCGATCACTGTCCCGCTGCTTTTCACCTGCAGTGTTGGTATGTTTGCAATGCGTTTCCATGTCTGGGTGTACAAGTCTGCTTATGCTGCTGATTTTTAAAGGTCACAGAGATTGTTATCTTCTTGGCTAATGAGGATTAAGAGTGTGAGGTGGAGGTCTTGGAAGCATTAAGTTAGTTGTTGTGGTTAGTACCATATGCAGTTATTTTATAGCAAATGTATTTATGAACTTACAGTAAATTGCAGCAACTTACAGCAAATTGTAACAAAACATTAAATGACATGCATTATCGTTCAAAAGTTTTAGGATTTGTTGTTTTAGGAACAAAAAGTTTTAGGAAAAATGTTTTTGAAATGTTTCTAATGCTCACAAAGACTGCACTTATTTGGTCAGAAATATGGTAAAAGCAGTAAAATTGTGACATATTATTATAATTTAAAATAACGTATTGTAATATGTTTTAAAATGCAATTTATTACTTTGGCAAAGCTGAAATTTCATCAGCAATTACTCCAGTCTTCACTGTCACATGATTCTTCAGAAATCACTCTAATATGCTGATTTGGTGCTCAAGAAGCATTTCTTCTTATTATCAGTGTTTAAAACATTTTTGCTGCTTAATATTACTGTCACAGAAACTACAGTCAGTTTGACAGTTGTCCCATGTAGAAACTTAACGCTGAAAACTTATCACACATAATGTAGATTTTATGATTGCTAACGGTGCATATTGTTTTTGTGCACATCACCACTTCCTCATCCAACAACAACAAAAAATGCCTAGAAATGGGCATTTAAAACGTTTTTTGTTCATTATACTGCTTAACACTGACAGCCTGTGCTTGAAGTAAAATATTAATGCCTCTAAGAACAAAAAAAAAACCTACAGCCACAGCAGTGTCTTATAGTTTATCATAGAGGCTTTGTTTGGATGGAATCACTCCTGCCTAATTTGATGGCTGTTTAATGCAAACTCCTAGTTTTTACTGCTATAGTCCTATGCTTATCACTAAAGGGAAGTAAATGTATTGTTATTCAACAACTCTCCTATCCTGAGGGGAGATTTGTTCGAATGTGCTTCACATAAAATCGATCCAGCCTTTCTCTTGGCTAATGTAATATAAAGCTGGTCTATAATGCCTGCATGGCAAAGATGGAAAAAAAAATTGATTTACATTTTTGTAGAATATCAGTAACGTTGCATCATTTGCAACATGCAACCTAAAGATTGCAAAGCATCCTTGTGGTTCAGCCTGTTTTAACTTGTAGATTTGGTGAGACCTAGACGGTTTCAGTGTGATTGCTGCGTTGTGGTTTTCTTTGCATCTAGCACATGAATAAAACCTGTAAGCTTTAACTGTATGCAAAAAGCTTTATTTCTACAGTGAATTTACATTTAAAATGTGTAAAAAGCATTGTTGTGCTTTTAAACACATCAGGATTTGTAAAAGTAATAAACATTTGATTCTTCACAGTAATCCACCTTTGAGCAGAGAGATGCTGCCGCCTGGTGACTGGATGTGTCATCGCTGCAGTGTGCGCAAAAAGGTTGGTGAAGTCATATTTGCCATTGCTGTCTTGTATTTGGAAACTTAAGCTGTCTAATGTTTATCTATTCACATTTAAAGGGATAGTACACCCAAAAATGACAATTGTCAGCTTAAATAATGAAATAAATGCTTAATTTTGGGTGAACTATTCCTTTAATTTCCTGAAAAGACATAAGATGCATGCCTATTCCACAAAGGATACAACCCCAAAAATGCATTGCTTTAAGCACAATTAAAAAAAAAAGAAATGTTGATTAAACAAACTTGCTTTTCATTCAGTGTCTAAAAGATCAATAAAACTAGTCAAATAATTTATTTTCTCAACGTGTGTGCTATTATTTTTTAGTTATTAGAGTAAGAGATACTTTAATAATGCACATTAAAGTATCTTATCAGCATGTTAACGGTTCGTTTTGGGAACAGAGCTGTAGTGTGTAATTTTCTGGTTTTTTTAGAAGTGTGAGCAGAAGGCAGAGCAGGTGAACGGGGCGTTGGAGCGGCAGCTGTCCAAACGGTCCTCCTCCCCTGCAGCAGAGCTGGAGCTGGGAACACTGCGTCTGGACGGGCTGCCCT